TCCTTCCTTCCTTCCTTCCTTCCTTCCTTCCTTCCTTCCTTCCTTCCCTCCTTCCTTCCTTCCTTCCCACTTAGCAATAGCACTTATATATTGTTTCACAGTGCTTTTACAGTCCTCTCTAAGCAGTTTGCAGAGTCAGCATCTTGCCCTCAACAATCTGGGTCCTCATTTTACCCACCTCGGAAGGATGGAAGGCTGAGTCAGCCTTGAGCCGGGAGAGATTTGAATGGCCAAATTGCAGGTAGCCAGCAGTCAGCAGAAGTAGCCTGCCGTACTGCACTCTAACCACTGCGCCACCATGGCTCCTCAAGACTGCAATGAAGCCCAATAGTTCTGTTGTTCACTGAGACATTTGTTCAGTGAGTTTTGCCCCATTTTACGATGTTTCTTGCCACAGTGGTTAAGTGAATCACCGCAGTTGACAGATAAGTAACCTGATTGCAAGTGAATTTGGCTTCCTCCTTGACTTTGCCTGTCAGAAGTTTGCAAAACGGGATCCCATGCAACGGTCAAAAGTATGAACCCATTGCCAGGCATCTAAATTTTGATCATGTAACCACAGGGATGCTACTAAGGTCGTAACTCTGAAAAACGGTCATAAGTCACATTTTTCAGTGACGTCGTAACTTTGAACGGTCACTAAATGAAATTTTGAGGATTACCTGTAATTGTAAATTGAGGACTATCTGTAATTACTGAATCATATAAACATAACAACATCAAACCCAATCAGATATTCACATAAATAAAATATAAAGAACCCGATTTTTTTAACTAATAAAAATAATAACGGGAAGGAATGACTTTGTTTTAAATTTTTTAAGAAATATCTTCAATATCTAGAAAATAACCTTGATTTTATGGGCGGCTGAGAGGGAACTATGTTTTAATTTTAAATTTTTAAAGCTCGATCCTGTGACCGTGAGGAAGTTGCAACGGTTGTAAGTATTGGACTTACAAAACACTGACAGAAGGAGTATAAGGATAATTGTGAATTGCAATAGACAAGACAGCCAGTGGTATAGTGATGGCAAACCTTTTTGTTGTGGTGTGCCAAATGCGTGCATGCGTGCCAGCACCCACAATGTAATGCGCTCCATCCCCTATGCATGCGCGTGCAACACCCCCATCCTGCCCCCTTACCTGCACTCGCATATGCACACCTCCCAGCTGATTTTCGGCCCATTTGAGGCTGCTTTTGCCCTCCTGGAGTCTTGAGGGAAGCCTCTGCAGCCTCGGGAGGCTGAAAAACCGGGCCTTCTGGAAATACAGGAAGTGCTGAAACAGCCCGTTTTCAGCCTCCCCTGAGCGCCAGAGGCCCTCCAGAGGTTGAAAACGGGCACTTCTAGTATTTCCGGAAGGCCCATTTTTCAGCCTCATGAGGCTGCAGAGGTCCCTTGAGCCTCTGGGAGGGCAAAAACGGCCTCCAACGGGCTGAAAATCAGCTGGGAGGTGCGCACATGCGCAGTGCAGGTAAGTTTGGCTGGGGCTTGCATGCCTGCACAAATGCCATAGGTTCATCCTCATGGTTTTAGGGTCTCCTGCTTGAGCAGGGGGTTGGACTAGAAGACCTCCAAGGTCCCTTTCAACTCTGTTGTTCTGTAAACGCTGCACTCGAGGTAATTAAAAAAAAATCACCTTCAAATGACTAGGGTGCCAATCGCACACACGCTGAGAATCTCACCCATACAGGTAGTCCTCGACTTACAACAGTTCATTTTGTGACGGTTTGAAGTTACAACAGCACTGGGGGAAAAAAAGGGGGACTGATGACCAAAGGTAGCCAGAAAAGTTGTAAAAACTCGCTCAACAAATTTCTCACTTTGCCACATAAATTCTGGGCTCAATTGGGGTCGTAAGCCAAGGACTATCTGTATTCGAAGCTGAACTGACAGCAATGCTATCCAAACCAGACAAATGCTTTTGTGTTGTTTGTATCAGCTGAGGTTTTGACGTTTTCTGCCCAAAAGTTGTTCTGCCTAGTCGCTTGACTCATTCTGCTGGTGGTTGATGTCATTTTATTTTTTTGGAAAAGCAAAGGTAGTTTCATAATAGCCAAGCCACCAGTTTCTGGAAAACTTGTGTCATAACAGATAGCAGATAATCAGAATTGGAAGGGACCTTGTAGGTCATCTAGTCCAACCCCCTGCCTAAGCAGGAGACCTTATACCATTTCTGACAAATGGCAGTCCAATCTCTTCTTTGAAGTCTTAAGTGATGAAGCTCCCACAACCTCTGAAGGCAACTTCTGTTCCATCGGTTGATTGTTCTCACTGTCAGAAAGTTTCTCCTTATTTCCAGGTTGACTCTCTCCTTGTTCAGTTTCCATCCATTATTCCTTGTCTGGCCTTCAGGTGCTTTAGAAGATAGCTTGACCCCCTTCCTCCTCTCTGTGGCAGCCCCTCAAATATTGGAAGACTGCTATCCTGTCTCCCCTGGTCCTTCTCTTCCCTAGACTAGCCAAGCCCAGTTCCTGCAACCGTTCTTCGTATCTTTTAGCCTCCGGTTCCCTAATCATCCTGGTTGCTCTTCTCTGTACTTTTCTTTTTTTTTTTATAAATAAATTTTATTGAATTTACAATTAAAAACATATCGACATTACATATACAAAAGGGAGAGAAAAAGAAAAAAAGAAAAAGAAAAACGCTCGGTCTTACGAACCGAAAAAGGAAGAGAAAAAGAGATGTAAAGAAAGAAAGAAACAAAGAAGCGGAGAAAAAAGAAAATACATTTAAAAACAGACATATATCCTTTTTGATATTCTGCAAGATCCAATTCTCCTACCTTAATTTAAATACACACATCTTGTCAATATCTCTGCTTAAATTACCCATTGTTCATTAAGCAGTTTATCTCTGAAGTAACCAATTATACCAAGAGTTCCAATTATCATAAAATGTTGAAGACTCTTTATTTTTAAGTGCTATAGTTAATTTATCCATTTCTGCACAATCACATATTTTCTGGATGACCATTTGTTCTGTAGGTATATGTACTTTTCTAGAGTCTGAACATCTTTTTTATAATGTGAACAAAACTGGATGCAGTACTCTGGGTGTGGTCTTACTAAGGCTTTATAGAGTGGTATTAATACCTCCCTTGATCTCGATTGTACCCCTCTGTTAACGTAATTTAGGATTGCATTGCCTTTTCTGGCTGCTGCTGCATAGCTGCATAGGTGAAAAAACATTGCTTCCATTTTCGCTGTGTCTGAGCCTACATGGATTCCCTCTCCCCCCTCATCTTCTGAGGCATACTAAAACCGCCGATGGGCTGTGTGATCACCCAGAGGTAGCCTGATAATGTCTTATTTACGGTGATGGGAACCATTGCGAACACATCTGTCTTGGATGAACTGCTTAGGAGAACAGTAGGGTCATCCAGGGAGCAATTTTGGGGGGAAAACAGACAGCTGATCAGGCTTTCAATGTTTGTGCCGCGGCGGGGGTGTGTGTGTGTGTCCATCAAGCCCATGAAATCCAGAATGTTTCGAACTCAGATGTTCCATTTCAATTCCCCGTTTGCTCTGTTCTGACTTCAAAAGAGTACTTTTGACCTTCTTGGAGTATTTTAAGCTCAAAACATCTGAGCCGGAAAGGCTACTTTAAATGTTCCAAACTGAGATGTTTAGAAATCGGAAGGTCTTACACATCTCCGGTTATTTTTATGTGTGTGCGTGGGTGCATTCACTTAACACCTCCCTTGCCAGAGGTAGCACACTTCCCTTTTCAACATGTGTATTTATATCTCCTTCTTCTGGAGTGTGGGAGTATACATGAATGTATGTAATTGTATTCAGTTTTGTTCGGGTATTTTCCCACGTCATTATAGTTGTGCTTTTAAAGTTGTAGCAACGTTTCGGCAGAATCTCATCTGCCATCATCAGGCTACTGTATTGTGTTCGTCTGTGAGTCAGACTTTCACAGCCGTTTCTGTTTTAAATTTGGTGCTAGCCTACTGCTGTGCCAGAATTGTTTTTTTCTGCATCCTGATTGGTTGGGAGTCTTGGTCTGTGTTTATTGGTCTTGGAGTTTGCCGTGTTCTGCTTGATTGGTGTTTCTAATATCTTCTGTCTGTTTTGTGGCTTTTTTTGTGTCCTGATTGGCTGGCAACATTGTGTTCCTGTATTGGAGGCTTTTAGTGCAGAATGTATGTAAGTATATACAGTATTCTCTCTGTCTCTGTCTGTCTCTCTCCCTCTCTCCCTCTCTCTCCCTCTCTGTTCTCCCCCTCCCCCCTATTCAGTTGTGTCCAATTCTCAGAGCTTGCCTGGAAAGATTCCTGCAGTTTCCTTGGCAAGGTTTTTGTTAAAAGGGGTTTGCCATTGCCTGCTTTCTAGGGCTGAGAGAAAGTGACTGGCCCACAGTCACCCAGCTGGCTTTCATGCTTAATGTGACACTAGAATTCATCATCTCCTGGTGATTGGCTCAAAATCATCTGACCGGCTTTTATGCTTAAAGGAGAAGTACAAAGAGGAGGAGGGAGGGA